TTGTAATAGAGGGAAACAAAATTATGGTGATGAGAGAACTCCCAAGAACAATACTGCAAGACAGGAAAAGGTATAAATCCTTGGCGGACAAACTCAGAGCTTTGAGCATCAGATATAGATGGGAGATTCCACAAGGTTTATCCTTTACGTATCAAGGTGGGAGGATTCAGATCAGATCGATGATGGACTTTTATAAATTTAAGGCGGACAATGCGGACGTCTTTGGAGAACTTTAAAATAAAACGCATAATGGAGTACAAATTGTTGTCATGGAATGTTAATGGATTAAATTCACCAAACAAGAGGAAAAGAATCAATCATTGGATACAGAAACAGAAATGCAACGTGATATGCTTGCAAGAAACACATATTAGAAAACAGGATATAAAATATTTAAAGAATGCTTTATTTGGAATTGAATTTTGTTCTGCGGCCTCAAACAAGAAAAAAGGAGTTGTGACATATGTGAAGAAGGAGTTACAACCTACAGAAATTTTTAAGGACATAGATGGCAGATACGTGGGTGTGGAATTAATGATTCAGCAGAAAAAAACATTGTTGATCAACGTGTACGCACCCAATGGAGCAAAGGAAAAATTTTTTAAGGATATAACTGACCAATTACAACAATTGACTTATGAGCAAGTTATTATGGCCGGAGACTTTAATGGGACAATAGATCGTCTAGACAGAAAACCACAAAAGGACAACGAATTCAGCGGAAAATTGCCAAAGAATTTTTTTGAATTAGTTAAGCAAGAAAAATTAGAAGATGTTTGGAGGAAATGGAACCCGATGCAGAAAGACTTTACTTTTTATTCCAATAGACATTGCTCTTTTTCCAGAATTGATATGATTTGGATGTCTGAAGAATTATCAATGAAAACACATAAGACTGAAATTTTGCCAAGATGTAATTCAGATCACAATCCGGTGGTATGGAGTTCCACAGAAAGGAAAAAACCCTTTCTGTGGAGGATTAATGAAGACTTGTTGGATAAGAAAACGGTAATTGAGATGTTAAAGGAAGAAACGAAACAATTCTTTCAACAAAATTTAAATAAAGAAACACCGATACAGATTGTATGGGATGCTTATAAAGCGGTGATGAGAGGAATTCTCATCTCGCAAAACGTGAAGCAAAAAAAGGAAAAACTTCAAAAACAAACAGAAGTGTTAGAAAAAATTGCTCAGAAAGAAAAGGAATTAAAAAAGAAGCCTGGAAAAAAGCAAATTATTAAAGAATTAAAGTTGCTGAAGGAACAACTGAATGAGACTTGGAATCAGGAAATGTATTGGAATTTAAAGAAGTTACAACAGAAATCTTTTGAAGGGGCGAACAAACCGGGAAAATACTTAGCTTGGCAACTTAAGGCTAGAAGAGAGAGAAGAATGATAACCAAAATAATAGAAGATGGAAAAGAGTTCGTTGATCCTAATGGAATAAAGAGATGTTTCTTCAAGTATTATGCTAAACTATTCCAAACAACTAGAGTTGATCTTGAGAAGATTAAAACATATTTAAAGGAGATTCCACTACCAAAAATAAGTAAGGAATACAAAGATTTATTAAATGGTCCAATTCAAAAAGAAGAAGTGATGAAGGCAATAGAAGAGACAAAGTTGGGGAAGGCGCCTGGGCCGGACGGATTTACAGCGAAATTCTACAAAAAGATGAAAGAAGAAATTTCCCCGGTCCTGGAAGCTTTAACCAACGAAATAAGAGAAAACAAAAAGGTGCCGGACTCATGGAAAGAAGCAATTATTTCTTTGATTCCAAAGGAAGGACAAGATTCAACAAATGTAAAGAACTACAGGCCAATATCTCTTTTGAACAACGATTATAAAATCTTTGCAAAAATTATTGCAGAAAGGGTGAAAAACTATTTACAAACGGTAATTTCTGAAGATCAAGCGGGCTTTTTACCCAAAAGGCAGATTAGAGACAATGTAAGAATAGTAATGGACGCAATTGAATATTATGAAAAGCACCCAGAAAAAGAAGTAGCTTTTCTGTTTGTTGATGCAGAAAAAGCTTTTGACAATCTTAATTGGAATTTTATGCACCAGATGATGGAAAAGATTGAAGCGGGACAACATTTTAGAAATTGTATTGAAGCTATCTATTCTGAACAAAGAGCTAAAATAAATGTGAATAAAGAACTGACAGATAACTTCAAAGTACAGAAAGGAACAAGGCAAGGTTGTCCGTTATCACCGTTATTATTTATCTGGGTATTGGAAATACTTTTACAAAAAATACAGTACGATCAAGAAATAAAGGGCTTGACACATAAAGGACACCAATACAAATATCGAGCATTTGCAGACGATGTAATGTTTATGGTGGAAAACCCAACAGAAAAATTGACATTGCTTTTTCAAAAAATAAAGGAGTTTGGAGAATTGGCCGGCTTTTACGTAAATAAGAATAAAACAAAACTTATATGTAAAAACATGATCAAACAAAAACAAGTGGAACTACAAGAACTGGTACAATGTGAAGTAGTTAAAAAAACAAAATACCTTGGAATTGAATTAACGGCAAAAAATATAGACCTATATAAGAATAATTATGAGAAATTATGGACTAAGCTGACTCAAGATTTTAAGAAATGGGATAAAATGAACTTATCACTGATGGGAAGAATATCAGTTATAAAAATGAATGTCCTACCACGTTTGATGTTCCTGTTCCAAACAATACCAATTCTGCATAAAACGGATTTGTTGGCCAAGTGGCAACAAGAGTTGTCAAAATTTGTTTGGGCAGGCAAGAAACCAAGGATCAAAATGAAAATACTTTGTGATGCCAAAGAAAGAGGAGGTCTACAAATGCCAAATCTTAGACTATATTATGAAGCGGTTTGTCTAACATGGATGGATCAATGGGTGAAGCTTGAAAATGACAGATTGTTGGGGTTGGAAGGGCATGATTGTAGATTTGGCTGGCATGCATATTTATGGTATGACAAGATAAAAATGGACAGTTTTTTTAAACTTCACTTGGTGAGAAAAGCTTTGTATATGGTATGGACAAGATATAAGAAGTACCAGAGTGACTTAAGACCATTGTGGATTGTACCAGTAGAAGTGTTGATATCTTACTCAAGACAGCGAGGTAGAGACTGGTTGCCATATAGAGATTTAATTAAAAAAGAGGGAACAGAGTGGGTAATGAAAAAGCAGAATGAAATTGAATATGAATATGAGTGGTTGAAATATATGCAGATTTATGATCTTTTTAGATCTGACAAAAAAAACTATGGTTTTAGAGAGGAAAAAAATGAAATTGAAAAGGTTTGGGAGAGTGGAGGAGGAAAAAATATTTCTAAAATGTATAAGGTGTTGTTAAAATGGTATACTGAAGATGAAACTGTTAAAGAACAAATGTTAAAATGGGCTATTAATATGAATAAGGAAGTGGATATGGAAACTTGGGAATATTTGTGGAAAAACTCTATTAAGATCTCGACATGTACTAATGTTAAAGAAAACTGTTATAAGATGATGTATAGGTGGTACATGACACCTAAGAAGATTGCAAATATGAATCAAAATATGTCAAACAAATGCTGGAAATGTAAGAGGCATGAGGGCTCATTTTATCATATGTGGTGGACTTGTGAGAAAGCTGTAGACTTTTGGACAAAAGTCCACAATGAAATGCAAAAAATATTGAAATGTTCTTTTAAAAAAGCACCGGAAATTCTGCTTTTGGGACTTAAAATGGAAGAAGTCAATACGACTAAAAAGACTTTACTCTGGTACCTGATAGTGACAGCGAGAATGATTTATGCTCAGTTTTGGAAGACAGAAAAGGTACCAGAGGTTGAAGAATGGATACAAAAAGTTCTGTTCATGGCACAAATGGATAAGATTACAAAAAAACTGAATAACAAAGAAGACGATGAGTTTTTTGGAGAATGGAATGACTTTAAAATTTATCTGGAAAAGAACTGGGATGTGAAACAAAACTTAATATGTTTAGATCAATATTAAGTCAAACGATGTTATCTTTAGATTGTAATGATGAGAAACTGATATTGTTGATGATATGAAGTAATTTGGAGCAGGGGTGGAAGCATTGTGGGAAGCCATTGGAGGGAGGGGAGGAACTGGGAATGGGGTAGACAATTGATAGAATGAAAAGTTTTATATGTTGTATTCCTGAGAAAATAAAAAATTTGTTTACCAAAAAAAAAAAAGCTAGGCTGAGCTGGGAGAAATCCTTTTTTGCAACTGCATTACCTTGCTTCTCTAGCAATAATGATCGGTCCAGAATAACGTGAAGCCAGTTTGGTGTAGTGGTTAAGAATGGCAGACTCTAATCTGGAGAACTGGGTTTGATTCCCCATTACTTCACATGCAGCCAGCAGGGTGACCTTGGGTCAGTCACAAGTTTTCTCAAAGCTGTTCTCTCAAGGGCAATTCTCTCAGAGCTCTCTCAGCTCCACCTACCATACAGGGTGTCAGTTATGGGGAGAGGAAGGGAAGGCGATTGTAAGCTGCTCTGAGACTTCTTTAGGTAGTAAAAAGCAGGGTATGAAAAGCAACTCTCCTCCTTCTCCTTCAGGGTTAGCAGAATCCCATCGAAAACAAATGAACATAATGTCCTTCCAGACTTCTGCTTTCTCAGCCTGTACTGCTTCTGTCTCTCCAGGGTTCATTTTCAATTGGTTCACTCTTAGCCATTTAACCACATCAGCCAGGAAGCAGGTGTGGGCCTCTGCCTCCTCCTGCTCACCCAGCATCCCTGTTGCCTTGACCTGGAGTGGATGGAGGCCCCTCTGCCCCTTCCCCGCTGCTGGCTGCTTGGGCAGAGCTATTGGCCAGCCCTTCCGGCCTATGGAGGAGCTGCCTGCAGTGGTGAAGCCCTTAGACCAGCCGCTTTGTCCCGGGCTCTACTTTACCTTAAGATACACCCACTACACAGACTGGCCCCCAGAAATCAGAGGCCAAGCACATAACATCCACAGCAGATCTTGGCTGAGGGCACTATGACCCCAGATGCATGCAGGCGATGCTTCCGGCAGTTCTGTTACCACGAGGCTGATGGGCCTCGAGAGTTTTGCAGCCAGCTCCACGAACTTTGCACGCATTGGCTGAAGCCGGAGAAGAACACCAAGAAGGAGATCCTGGACCTGGTGATCCTGGAGAAGTTCCTGGCTGCCTGTCACCAGGAAATGCAATGCTGGGTCAGAGGATGCGAGCCAGAGACCACTTCCCAGGCGGTGGCGCTGGCTGAAGGTTTCCTCCTGAGTCAGGCACAAGAGAAGAGGCAGGCGGAGCAAGTGAGGGTCAGGATCTATGTCCTCAGCTGGTTCCAGTCCTTCTCTTGCCTGTGTCTCTTGCTGTTGTTTCAGATGTGGGGATAATCTGTGAAGGTGGAAGTGTTCAAGCACTGACCTCATCCTAAGGCTTCCTGCTGGAAATTTCTGTATGTGTGCATGTCAGCCATCATCAAGTTGCATCTGACTTATGGTGACCCTATGAATGAATGTTGTCCAAAACTTCCTTAGGTTTTACAAACGGAGGGCCATGGCTTCCTTGATTGAGTCAATCCATCCCATGTTTGGTCTTCTTCTTTTCCTGCTGCCTTGTCAACTTTTCCTAGCATGGTTGTCTTTTCTAGTGACTCTTGTCTTCTTGTAATGTCACCAAAGTACGATAGCCTCATTTTAGTCATTTTAACTTCTAGGGAGAGGTCAGGTTTGATTTTGATCTAGAACACACTAATTTGACTTTTTGGCGGTCGACAGGATCTGTAAAAACTCTCCTCCAACACCACATTTCAAAAGAATCAACCTTCTCCATGCCAGCTTTCGTCACTGCTGTCCAACTTTCACACCGACACATAGTAATGGGGAATACTATGGCCTGAATTAACTGGATCTTGGTCACCAGTGACACATTCTAGCTCCCTTCTTGGCTCTCCTTCCCAGCCTCAGTCTCCTTCTAATTTCTTCTTTGCAGTTTCCCTTTTGATTAACAATGGAGGCAAGGAACAGAAGACCCTGAACAATCTCAAGTTCTTCATCATAAACCCTAAATTTGTGTAGTTCCACACTATTCATTACGTTTGTTCTCTTGATGTTCAGTCATAATCCCTCTTTCGCCCTTCCTCCTTTAACCTTCATGAGTAGTTTTTTCAAGCCTTCACTATTTCCTGCCAGTAATGTGGTGTCATCTGCATTTCTCAAATTGTTACTGTTCCTTCCACCAGTATTCACTCCACCTTCACCTAAATCTAATCCAGCTTTCCTGATTATATGTTCTGTGTATAGATTGGAGAGATAGGGAGATAAAATATGTTGTGGTTTGACCCCTTTGTCAATTTGGAAACCATTCTGTTTCTCCATGTTCTATCTGAACAGTGGCCTCTTGTCCAGAGTACAGGTTGCACATCAAAGTAATCAGACATTGTGGCACGTGCATTTCTTTTAAAACCAACCATAGCTTTTTATGATCCACACTGTCAAAAGCTCTATGAAACACAAGCTGATTTTCTTCTAAAATTATCTCGCATGCTCCCCTAACCAACCTAAATTTATAATGTGATCTCAAGTATGTTTTCCTTTTCTGAATCCGGCTTGAATATCTGGCATTTCTTGTTCCACATGTGGTAACAGTCTTCATTGTAGGGTTTTGTGCTTCACTTTATTCCCATGAGAAATTAATGTGAAGGTCCAGTAGTTGCTGCAGTCTTTGATGTCTCCTTTATTCGGAATTGGAATGTATATGTTTCCAGTCTGTGGGCCATTGTTTTATTGGCCATATTTGTTAGCATATTCTTGTTAAGATTTTCAGGAACTCCTTTTTCTGTGCCTTAGAATAGTTCTTTTGATATCCCGTCTACTCCTGGTGATTTGTTTCTCCCAGTTGCTATCAGTGCAGCTTTCCCTTCACTTTCTAAAACTGTTGGTTCTTCTTCTTGAAAGGAATCTGTGATCCTTTCATCTCTTTTGTATAATTCCTCAGTGTATTGTTCCCATCTTTTCTTAGATACTTCTACCTCTTTATGTTTCTCTAGGCTGGGAAGAAAACCCGACCCTGTGGCTGAAGCAGCTCTGATGGTGGATGCAGGGATGAGGAGACTGGGAGTAGACCTCAGGATCTGTTTCCTCAGCTCGTTCCATTCCTTCTCTTAACTGTGTCCCGTGCTGTTGTTTCAGATGTGGGGACGATCCATGAAGATGGAAGCGAAGTTCTCTGAGGCAGAAGGATCTCCGTCAGAGGAAAGTCAGAGGGTGCATGCCCAGGAGCATGCCCAAGATGCCCCGTCAAGTGGTAAGGATGCCTCCTGCCCAGAAGGGATCAGGGTACCTAGTCAGGCTGTTGGGCATAAGGTCCAGGACAGGAGTGAAGGGGAATACTTTTGCAGATGACATAGAATTGAGTTCTGGGACATAGCACCATAGGATGTAGTGATGGCCACTCCACTTTAAGGGGGAGTAGACAGTATCATGGAAGGCCATTCAGTTCTTATTTACATTAAGTAAAATATGCATATCTCACCTTCCATTGGGTCTCAAGGTGGCTCAAAAAAGGAAAGGAAGAGAAATCCGGGTACAGCTGTTAGCCATGGTGAATAAATGGAACATCCACATTCTCCAGACCTGGATGGCTGAGGGTAAGCAGGGTCAGCCCGGTTTAATTCTTGCATGGGAGACCACCAAAGAAGTCCAGGGTTGCCATGCAGAGGCAGGCAATGGGACATCACCATCTGGCGAACCACAGTGAGAAAGAGGATATTGGACTAGGGATGCTGGAGTAAGAATGAGGGTGGAGAATGGGGTACACGTCATGTGTTCTCAGTGTCTTGTGTTGCCTAATACCTGGCTGTGAAGAGCTCAGGGTGTTCATTCATACACTGTGACTGTGATCTGTATAGGATCCATCCCCCTTATAGTGGTCAGGATTCTGGGCTTTGATCTTGACCATGTTTCCGTCCTTTCAGAAGAATTTTTCCTCTTGGATTTCTTTCCTTCCTCATATAGGAATGTTTCTCTCTCTCTCTCTCTCTTTCTCTCTCTCTCTCTCTCTCTCTCTCTCTCTCTCTCACACTCACACTCACACTCACACTCACACACACCACACTCACACACCCTGCTGTTTCTGGTTATCATCTGTTTGGGTTCAACGCGGGTGGGGGTGGAAAACAACATAGGTAATATCGGAACTGGAGATTGATGTGCCCTAAACTGTGAGAATCCTGTCAGACACCATCCATCTCCTTTCCAGCTTGTCACTCTTTTGATCTGGCCATGCTGAAGACATGCATATCTGCACCCTTGCTGTGTATTCACAGCATATTGCAGGTGTTGGGGGGGATGGGATAGGACACTCTTCTGGGGTCTTATCTGGACTTTTTGACACTGCGTGTTCCTCTGGGATGGGCTTCCAGAGGGCCTTACTTTCCTGTAAAAAGTTAATGACCGTGAGGCTCAATCATCAGTCTTCTGGCTCTCTCTTGCTGACAATAAGACACCCTTCTTTCCAGAGAGATAGGCTGACTCTGTGCTGTTAGGAAAGGCAGAAATGCCTGCCTGGATGATCCAGTCACGGCTGCGCATTAGACAATAGACAGGCCTGGCTGAGATGCAGAGATCAGCTCAGAAATAGCAAGAAAATGGCTCTGACCTTGAGAGAGGTAGCCCTACACTGCAGGGTTGGTTTTGTCATTGGTCATTACATGCCCTCTAAGAACTGTCACCTTTTTGAAAAACCATGGGTGTCCCCTTTGAACTATGGGGTTCACTTGGTGAGCTCCTGGCTACTCCCCCTCCCCCGGAAAAATGTATTTTGGGGAGACTGGAAACCACCACCTCCTGGCTCTGTTCACAACTGGAAGAAAACTCAGTGCAGTTGAAGGAGCGGACATCTTAACAGCTTCTTGTATTTAATCATCAAGTGCAGACAATCAAAAGAGCTGTACAACAAGTCAAATGGAAACAGTGGGGTAAGGATCCTTTGCCACCTTTTCCCTTGAACTACATCTGGGGAGTCGGGGGAGAGGAGGGAGAGGCAGAATATAAAAACAGCTGTACGGGGAGGCCTGACAGGGATCAGATGCGACCAGCGTCTCAGTCTGGGAGGAAAGAAGATCTGACACAAGAACTGCACACCTCTTCATGAGCCTGTGCCTGACTGGTGCTGTGGCTTCTTGCGTGGGGGCTGATTGAAACTCTTCCTTGATTCCAGCAGCAGATGTAGAGGAGACAGTTGGGGAATTCCAGGGGTTCTCTTTGGAAAAAGTCAAGAATGAAGATGCCGAAGGACACTGTGGAGACGGACCACAGAGGCAGGAGGGAAGCCAAGCAGGTAAGAGGAGGGATAAGCCCAGTCCTTGCCACGAAGGGGATTTCCGTGAAATCCCAGACCAAGAGGAGAGGTTAGTCAAAAAGAGAAGGGACAAAGGTCTCCATCCTAACCAGAGAATCCACTCCAGGGAAAAAGAAAGTGTGGCCTTTGCGCAGACCTTCAGTCAGAGAATGAACGTCATTTTGCAGACACAAATTCCCGTAGGAGAGAAACTGTATAATTGCTTGCAGGGCAGAAAGCGCTTCTGTCAGAAAAGAGCCCTTACTTCACATCAAAAATGTCACACATGTGAGGAGCCATGTAAATGGTCAGAGTCCAAACCAAGTGTCTCTCGTGCAGGAGTCTTCATGTATTTATTTATTTATTTATTGGACTTTTACCCCGCCCTCCCGCCAAGGCGGCTCAGGGCGGCTTACAGCAGTTAAAAACCAGTATACAATTAATACCAATTATCACGTCTAAAACAATACAATACAATATCATAAATACAGCTTATTAAAATTAGAATGTGGCGGCCATCTGTTATAAAGTGCTAGTGCTTATGTGGAACGGTCAGTGTGGTCAGAACTGTTAAAACGCTTGTCGGAACAGCTCGGTCTTTACCGCTCTATGGAATTGTTGAAGATCCCGCAGAGCTCGAATTTCGTTTGGGAGCTGGTTCCATAGCGTCGATGCAGCTAAGGAAAACGCCCTGGTTCTTGTTGCTGTTAGCTTAGCGTCCCTAGGGCCAGGGGGGACCAAGCGATTTTGTGTCTCGGATCTCAGTGTCCTCAAGGGAACATACGGGGAAAGGCGGTCCCTCAGGTAGACAGGCCCCAGACCATTAAGGGCTTTAAAGGTCAAAACCAGCACCTTGAAGCGTATCTGGAACGCTATTGGCAGCCAGTGCAGCGACCTCAGCATAGGCTGGATGTGTTCCCTCATGAGGAGGCCCATCAACAACCTGGCCGCGGCATTCTGCACCAGCTGCAACTTCCGGAGTTGCCCCAAGGGCAGCCCCAGGTAGAGAGCATTGCAGTAATCCAGCCTCGAGGTGACCATAGCATGGATCACTGATGGCAGATCGTTGCGTTCAAGGAAGGGGAGCAACTGCCTAATCAGCCGCAGGTGGTAAAAGGCTGCCTTGGCAATGGCTGCTACCTGGGCCTCCATTGTCAAGGAAGCATCCAGGAGCACTCCCAAACTCCTGACCCTCTGAGCTGGTACCAATGGCGCCCCCCCGAAGGCCGGAAGAGGGACCCCTACCCCCGTACCACTCCGATTCAGTCATAGAACCTCCGTCTTCGTCGGATTCAGTTTCAGTCGACTCAGCCTAAGCCAGCCCGCTACGTCCTGCACCGCTCTGTCCAGATCTTCCAGGGTAGAGCCAGACTGACCGCCCAACAGCAGACAGAGCTGGGTGTCATCCGCATATTGATGGCACCCTAGCCCATGTCTCCGGGCAATCTGGGCAAGGGGGCGCATATAGATGTTAAATAACATTGGGGAGAGAACTGCCCCTTGAGGCAGCCCACAGACTAGTGGGTGTCTTCGGGACAGCTCCTCCCCGAGCGCCACCCTTTGTCCTCGACCTTAAAGAAAGGAGACAAGCCATTGCAAGGCAAGCCCCCGAATCCCCACGTCGGTGAGGCGGTGGGCAAGCAACTGGTGATCGACCATATCGAACGCCACCGACAGGTCCAACAACAGGTCCACTGTAATATCAAGGAATGTTGCCAAATTTCTCTTTATTGCATTTACAAAGCGTAAGCACCTCCTCAATGTTCCTTATGATGTCTCTTCTCTGTAATGCTTTTTGCTTTTGATTCTGTATGCTGTTTAATGGGTCTCTGACCGTAATAATAAAATGAATGAATGAGGTCCAACAACAGGAGCACCGCCATCCCGCCCCGATCCAGGTGCCTTCGGAGATCATCCTTGAGGGCGACCAGTGCTGTCTCAGTCCCATGGCCTGGGCGGAAGCCGGACTGGAACGGATCTAGCGTAGAAGTGTCATCCAGGAAGGCCTGCAACTGTATCGCCACCGCCCTCTCTATTAATTTGCCCAAATAGGGCAAATTGGAAACCGTACATTGGACTCTTCAGTGTACAGCAGGAAGAAGCCACTGAAATATTTAGAGTGCAGATGGAAATTCAGTTGCAGATCAGACCCCTTTCTGTGAGTTCTAACGAAATATCTTTCTTTATTCCAGCAGGTGTTGATCAGAGGAATGAGGATGAGGAGGAACTGCACCCACAATTGCCACGTGAAGTCAAGAATGAAGACTTGAGAAGAAACTTCAGAAATCAAGTAGGGCCTAAGAGGGAGAAAAGAAGCTACGTTGTCAAGAAGAGGGGTAAATCCGTTCCTTGCCAAGGGGGGGATTTCCTAGAAGTAATTCACATGGTGAAGGAAACATACAAGTGCTTAGTGTGTGGAATGAACTTCTCAGATCAATCCCAGTATAAGGTCCATTTACGAATGCACAGTAGAAAGAAGACCCATCAAGGGCTGGAGTCTGGAAAGACCATGATTCACAGAGCAGAGCTCCTTAGATATCAAAGAACTGATACGGGAGAGAAACCTTATAGCTGCTCAGATTGTGGCAAGAAATTCTCAGAGAAATCAGACGTTGTTCGACACCAAAGGCTTTGCTCAGGAGAGAAGCTGTTTATTTGCTTAGAGACTGGCATGACGTTCTCTGAAGGAGGAAAAGGTAATATACATTTTCCAAAGCACAGTTTAGTAAATGACTATAAATGCTTTTGGTGCAGTAAGTACTTCAGATACAGATCACAACTCATTGGGCACCAAAGAATCCACAGAGGGGAGAAGCCTGTTGAATGCTCAGAGTGTGGGAAGAAATTCAATCACATTAGAGGTCTTCAACAGCATCTAAGAACCCATACAGAGGAGAGGCCATTTGAATGCTCAGAATGTGGGAAGAGGTTCAGTTACAATGGCGATCTTCAAAAACATTTAAGAATCCACACAGGAGAGAAACCTTTTGAGTGCTCCAAGTGTGGGAAGAGATTCATTCGGAGTGGCCACCTTCAACAGCATCTAAGAACCCACACAGGGGAGAAGCCTTTTGAATGCTTAGAGTGTGGGAAGGGATTTAGTCATTGTGGCACTCTTCAGAATCATCTAAGAACCCACACAGGGGAGAAGCCTTTTGAATGCACAGAATGTGGGAAGAGATTCAGTCGGAGTGACCACCTTCAGCGGCATCTAAGAATCCACACAGGGGAGAAGCCTTTTGTATGCTTAGAGTGTGGGAAGGGATTCAGTTGCAGTGACGATCTTCAAAAACATCTAAGAACCCACACAGGGGAGAAGCCTTTTGACTGCTCACAGTGTGGGAAGAGATTCAGTCGGAGTGATGATCTTAAAAAACATTTGAGAATCCACACAGGAGAGAAGCCTTTTGAGTGCTCCGAGTGTGGGAAGAGATTCAGTCGGAGTGACACTCTTCAGAATCATCTAAGAACCCACCTGGGAGAAGACTTTTGAATACTCTGAGTGTGGGAAGGGATTCAATGGTGCTCTTCAAAATCAACTAAGAACCCACACAGGGGAGAAGCCTTTTGACTGCATGGGAGACCACCAAAGAAGTCCAGGGCACTCTTCAAAAGTATCTAAGAAGCACAAATAGAGAAACCATGTAACTGCTTCGCTCAGAGGTGTCGAATTCATTTGTTATGAGGGCCAGATGTGACATTGTCGTCTGGGCCATATGTGCCATACAATGTAATGCCTGGTCCTGGAGATAATAAACTTCAGAAAGGACACAGGCAACCCCAATTGACAATGTAATTTCCCCCTCAAAATATAAACATGCTTAAAACATCTGGAGTCAGTGTCTGAGCTGCAGCAATCTTGAGTATGCTGTTGAGGTGTGTATCTGTAAGCTGAGAATGTACTTTTTTAATAATCTTTTTATTAATTTTCAAAGTAGACATAACAAAATAATCACATATTTTAACACATCCATAATAATTAGCATACTGTCGATATTATATCATTCATTTTATCCCTCTATTAATTTAACATCACGTATTTCCTATATTTCCACATAGCTCCCACAAAATAAATTATTCTATTAACTTTATTAAGTTGTCAACTGTCTTCCTATGGAGCTATATTTAAAATACAAAGTACCTAGACATTTATAAGCCATTTCATTGAAAATAGATTGACAGATTAAAACCAGACTAGATCTAACTATTCTCACCTGGTCTATATCTCCTTGTCAGTATTGACATGATCTCATTTGTTATCAAATCTATTCATATTCCGCAATCCCTTCAAGAGACAAAGAAGACCCTTATTTACTCCCTCTTTTATGTTTCCAATTTTTAGTCTTTCTTGATCGTTTCCATCCTCCATTTAGCAGAAAAAAAGAATAAAGCAGACAAGACACACAAATAAATTCATATCCAACATCAAGATAAAAAGAAGAAAAAAAGTATATCATGAGAAATCTCTTCAAGTATTTAATTATATTCGTCCCATATTGATATTCATTATCTTATTTTTGAATTATTTTAGCATACTTTTAAGAGCCAATATCTTTACACTTTCTTCTTCTAAGACCAATTTAAGAGGGAGGGGGGAAATATCCTATTTCTATTTAATTTATTGCCCAACACAAAACCCATTATTTCATTCAAACACACCCTTTATCTTCATAATTATCAAACTCTCTAGCACCATATAATAGTGAAACCTTATTACCAATCCACCCATTGTATCTAAACAAATTACAAATCTTCAACCTCCTCTTTCAGCCTTCCACCACAGACTAAGTTTATACATAATTTCTCATTGTTACCCATTCCTATCTCAAAAAAACATCATTTATCAGCTTGGAGAAATTTTATATTACACTATATACGGTATTGTTCTTGTCTCAAATTTTTTCCCCATCTTTCTATTATCTCTTCCTTTATTACAATCTTTTCACGATGTCTATAATTTTTGTATTCCTGGAGTCTTGATTTCAGTCGTAGCCTTCTCTTCTCCCATATGGCATTTGTCAGTCTTTTTGGACATTCAAAATTTTTTCCATCATCTCTTCCTTTCCTCTTGTTGGTTACTTTTTTTCTCTTTTGTAGAAAGATGCTTAAAGATTGTCCTTTCTTTGCTCTTTTTTTAAATTTCCGTTTTATTTGATCATTCTTCAAGTATTTTCTGTAAACATCTGAATCATGAGCCTTCTTTTGCAAATTCACTTCTTTCTTATTTACTGGCTCCCTCTCCTGGCCATATTCCTGCAGTTCAGGTGAAACTAGCCTAGATATACTGGGTTCTCTAATATTTTCTATGCCTACTAATTCTCCTTGAGGCTGTTCCAATAAGTTCTTACACGCTGTTTCAAATGCTTGCTTAACTGTTTGTGACAAAAATCTTTTAAGTTGTTCATATGAGAGCTCTTCCACTAACATATTTAAGTCCCAGTCTTGCTCTTCCTCAGAAGTCGCCATTTTTCCCCTTCACGATAGTACTGTTTTTAGCTTGTAATTTTTTTTTACATATTGTTCGTTAAGTATTTAGCACCCTTAAAGTATACCATTCAAGTTATCCTGTTACCGATACTCCATTGAAACAGCTTAATTTTTCAGTTCTTACACCCTCTTCTTCCAAATGTTTTATTTTCCCCCAGTCCTTCCGTAGCCGCTCTCTCCGGCGGTTTTTGGGGTAATTGCAGGGGGTTTATTCCAGGTTCCATAAAGGTCTTACTTTACTTGAAGTACGTGAGTAAATCCTCAGCTTTTCTTCTTGTGATGTGTTACTTGTAATCCTGCTGGAAGATCCGGTGTGGCGTGCGAGCGGACGTGTCTCGGCTTGCTCCGAGCCCTCCGATTCCCTCGGCGTTCTTTAGGAGCCCCTCAGGGATGAGGGTGCTCCGCCTCGTCTTCTGGAGGGAGACGGGGTTGCAGGGGGCTTCTTTCCCACCCCCGGTGATGGCAAATCGCAGGTGTGTTGGCTTTGTGCCCCGACGCGAGAGCGTTGAAGCGGAGGAAACATGGCTGCAACCATGATTTCCCTAGCAGAGACCAGCCGATTTTAAGCTGAGAATGTACTTTTGATTTATGGGCTTTTATCACAAAAAAGAGCTGTTCACAGACATACATTGACACAAACATAGACAGAATTTTAGAATCAAAAGCCTTAAGTTGGGGGTAGTTCAGATCCCAAAACTGGTAAAATTTCGTAATGCCAACTAAAGAAGGATTATCCTTCAACACAGCATCACATTGCTCCCACACCTACCTGCGATTTATGGCATCCTTTCATTGATAGGTGGGGGAGACAAAAGAAAAGGGCTGTTCAGCAAAGAAGACGATGAAGGAAATCTTGAGGGTGGGTGAAATTGTCATAGCACATCATAGACTTTTTCCCATGGGGCACCTGTATTAAGTAGAAACTTAAATTTCTCTTTAAAACGATGGGTATGGACTTCACCTGCACACTGTCTGACTCCCCAACAGGAACTCAGAGTGGCTTATGACATTTTATAAGGCTTGAAAGAATGAAATGGGCTCAAGGTCACAAGGAAGTTTCCCGGCAGAATGGCATTTGAACTTGGGACTCCCAGATCCCAGCCTAACGTGGTAAGTGCTGTCGGTACAAATGGTGTCATATAAGAATGACTCCAGAGACAGTCTGAACCCAGTTGGAAAAAAGTTCAGGTTTATCACTGATACTGAAAAACAGAAGCTCCAAACAATTCCTGATGGATCACAAGGCTCTCTTCCATTTGCATCATCTGTAGGAACTGCAGCGCTTTCTGCTTCTTAACCCTTTACTAGCTGCTGTACAGAGAAGGAAATAAAATAACTTATTTTAATGACTATTTTTTCAAACTAAGGAAGAGATTACATGTGCCTTTTAACTGCCAGTTCCAGGAATATAAAGCCTCCCTGTGGTTGCTCAGTGGGACTGGCAAGGCACTCATTTCATGCTCAGATGCACTGTCAGCAAATGGAAAGCTAGGCAGAAAACAATAAAGAGTGAAAAATTAGCCCAGTAGAGTCAGGGAATGTTTCCCAATGCTTAGAAAAGAAGTTGTCCAGAAAATAATGGAACATTTGGTAACTAAGGCACGGATGTCTTGGCAACCCCAAAATAGCAGCCAACATCTTACCTGAACAATATTCATTATAGTTTGGAAACTGCCACACTGACAATATTGTATTGGCAATGGCACCCATTCACTGTTAATTTTAGGAAACAAGAAATCTTTGGAAATGCTTTGCAGAAAAAGAAAGTACTGGAAATTTTTCCCACCCCACATCTCTGTCATC